AAAGGCAGCAATAAAGGAGAGAAATATTAAGTAGATATTTCAACAGGAGAGCTGGTTAACACTCCAAATTTCAAAGTGTAAACACAAAACAGTTATCTTGCTACTGTTAAAACAAGCAATAAAATAAGACAAAAATAAAATAAACCCAAGGGACACTCCAGAAACAATCCAAATTCACTAACTGAATAGAATCTTTGAAACTTCACCAAGTAGAAGATTAAATTCAAGTTTAAATCCAAATTAAACAACTGTCAGGGACTCGTCCGGGGTCGAGGGGGTCCGGGTATAGCGTCCGGGACCGAGAGCCTGGCGGGGGGCGGATCAGGCGTGCGTACTGACAGGCCCGATGTGGGACAGTAGTCCCTGGCCACTTAGACTGAAGTGGAAAGTTGTTATTATTATTAAAGGGGAAATATTGTACTACTTACCTGAAGTGGAAAGTTGAGAAGAAGGCTACTTCTTCGGTTCCCACTTCAGGTTCGTTTATATACATGCGGCTTGGATCACATGACGGATGCCACGTCACCCTCGCACACAGCCGTAACCACCTGGGTGTCTCCGTGGGAGATCCCGAGGGTATCTGGTGCAGGCACGCGTGCTGGGCACAGCGGGAAGTCGCCCGAGGTGCCCAGGCCGGGTACATGGTGGGCACGCTGCAGATGGGTCAGTTGTACATTGATACAGGGAAAGTCGTCCATGTAGAATAAAGAGAGAATAAAGGGGAAGTAAGATAAGGAGAAACTGAGGAGGGGAGGATGAGGGGGAAGAAGGGAAAGGGGGAGGGGGTAAGGAAGGGTGGACTGGTGGGGTACCGGGTCAGGTTGGGCTGGGTGGAGCCGGGTCAGGCAGGTGTGCCCTGACAACAACGCTACACAGAATTACACCTAGACAAATTAATAAATTTCAATAAAGAAACAGCTCCGCAGGGCTCGGTTTATCTGTAAGTCAATTCTCAGGAACTTTAAAACTAACCCATAAAAATAGAATTAGCCAAAACACTCGGATTGGTACTATATTTACAATAAATAACACTAGTACACTTCCCCATCCTAACTAAAGAACCAGGGAACAGCTTGGTGGTGGTCTCGTTTGAACCTCCCAACTGACCTTCCTTCGTTCTCTCCTTCACCGGAGATGGCCCCAGCTCCATTGGCTGCGGCATTGGAAAAGGTAAGGTCAATCACTGATGTGTGGCCGCTGTTGTCTTCCCGTGTTGGTACAAATGGTTCGTTGCATAGGGTGAACGCGCCCCCTTCGAGCCATTCAATAGTTTCCAAGGTTCTTTGGCACGGTGTTTCGATCTGGTCATCCCAGTCTGGATGGTGGATATTCCAGTCACCCGTGAGGATGGTTGGAATGTCCGTGTCCAACGTGGTCTCTGCCAGTCTTTCCGCTGTGTATTCTTTTCTCTGATTTGCTGCGAGCGTTTTTTGGTTGTAAATATTTATGAGTCTAACTGGTTGTTGCGTAGAGCCGTTCCTTTTTACATCTAGTACCATGTAGTTGAGGTCTGATGCTATGTCGTTCCTCAAAGTTAGTTCTATGTTAGCGTCTTTCCGGTAGTACGCTATTGTTCTGGGTCTGTCGCCTTCAGCGATAGGTTGTTTGGGTAGTATGGTTTGCCACCCCTTGAGGGCGACTGAAATGTAAGTGTTGTTCACTTTGTGCCACCAGGGCTCCTGGACTAAGAAGATGTCGATGGCTGGTTTGTTGCGGTTAGCTATGTTGTGCATCACAGCTTGTGTGGCCGCATTTGAGTGGTTGACATTTAGACTGCACACCGTCAGTGTGGTTGCTATTTTGGTTTGTCGATTCATTGAGTTTGCCCTTGGAGTTGGCTCAATGGTTCGATTACCATACTATCATCGGTTGGTTTTGGTTTCGCGTGGGGGATCTTTATTGGCGGGATTGGAGCTACTCCCCCCTGGCTCTTGCACTGATCATTTTGGCGGCTGAGGCCTTTTGGGCCTCGGGCAGTTGCTGTTGACTCAGTATTTTGCTCAGGTCTTGGTCCGAGAGACCAAAGTCTGGGGGGTCGTCTGGTGTGGTTTGGGCAGGGACTGTTTTTTGCTTACCTTTCCCTTTTTTCTTTGCCGGTTGTTCAGTTGGCAGGGTGTGTTTTGGCGTTGGCATGTTTTTTGGCGCTAGGGGTAGTCCCATGTGGCCTCTCCTGGCTCTGCAGTCCTTGTGTGAACTTTCGTGTTCCCCTTTGCAATTGACACAGTGGTGTTCGGCATTCTTGGGGTGAGACTCGGTTTTGTGGTCTTTCGCGCTGCATTTCAGGCACCTTGTCTGGTTGCAGTTGGCCATGCGGTGGGCAAGCATACCGCACTTGCTGCATGCATATACCTGTACACGGTCCTCGTAGGGTGTGATTGTGCATCTGGTGTTAAAAGGAAGACCGACTTCAGACTCAGCAACGTGTCCCTGTCTTTTTTGTTAGAAAGGTCAACTACGATGGATGCAAAGTTCTTAGCGCAAATTGTTTCCTCTGTACCAAGCCACTTTGGTGGTCTCCAGTACTTCAGGTCTTTGTACTGTGGTACGTAGGTGCGCAGTTCTTCGTGGATCATTCCGGGTGTTATCGGTTCGTTGTTGCTGTGGGTGGGAATCTTGTTGATCTTTACGTGGTAGTGCTCCTGGTCGGGTAGGGCCGAGATTACTTCGTGTTGGGTAATGGCAGCTGCCATCTTGTGGCCGTAGGCGATGAGGTCCGAGGCTTTGCATGTTGGGGCAGTAGTTATCTTGATGTTTCCCACTAACAAGTATCCTACAGCCATTACTCTTAGATAGTGGGGTGCGTTTTTCTTTTCCAGAATGTCGTTGATCTTCTTTCTCGTTTCGATGCCATTCGGTTGGTCATCTGGTTTGATCGGAGGTCTCACTTGGATGACGAGGCATCTCAGGTCGGCTGCAGGACCGTTGCCGGTGTCGTTCGACGGTGCGTTGAGCCGGTTGGCAGCCAGGGTTGTATTCGATCTGGGTGGTGGTGGGGTCTTAGCTGCCACATGTGCCCAAGTTGTGTTGGGGGTTGACATGGGGGCAGCGACAGTCACCGGGTCTCTGTGTGGGGGGGTATACTGTACAGTATGGCCTATTTCTAGACACTGAATCCTTTCGGTCAGTTCTGTGAGTTTGGCATTGACCGTGTTAAAATTGTCAGATTGGGACTCAGCAGTGTCTGGCTTTTTGTTATCAGTGTCTAACTCCGATAGCGTGTTCATCCAGCTTTTAAGATAGTGTAAGTGGTGCCATAGGCCCATTTTTCTGGCTTCCATCAGTCTGTTGAGGGTGTCTTTCATGCTTTCGGTGACGTTGTCGATGCAACCGTGGTTGTCGTCTGTGAGGTCTGCTCTGTGCCACAAGGGGGTGGCCTGCATTTCTTCATCCATTGGGCCGTGTAAGGACGTCTGGAGAGTATACAGGTCTGTCCATCTGGGGGTCAAATGGGTCTGTGGATTGTTGGTAACAGGTTGTCCTCCTAGGTCCGAATTTTGATGTTCGGCCATGGTGGCGGTTGGGGGTAAGTTGGTGGTTAGTGGGGAGTATAGGAGGGTGTGTGTGTGTGTCTTTTTAACAAGACAACGTTAACCCTCTCTTGTCGAGGTGGTGTCACGTGGAAGGAAAAAGGGCCATCCCGAGAAATATGTCCAGTGGTGAGTACTTGTCGAAATGGGCGGCACAAAACGGACCCTGTGCCTTCGTATTCCCAGCAACCTTGTGTTCTCATCACTGTGATTGGGGCATCTCCACCATTTCACACACCTACTGCAGTTTGCAAGGGAACGATTATAAGACGAAATGATGGACTAGCGATGTTGTCGCTCAGTCCCATTGTACGTGAACTAAAAGTATATTAGAATAATCACCTAGCGATGTTGTCACTGGTGTATGAATATTAGATACACGTTTTATGGATGATGAACAAGAGATAACCAACATACCTCAGTCCCGTTGTACGTGAACTGAGGAAAGGTTGGGTTGTGAAAAATTGTTCTTTTATAGTCAGACGCTATGAATGCGCACTGACTTTGGCACGGACGCCACACGACTCAACATCACCAAACGTGAGTTGGTCATAGCGAACACCATAATACCAAGAATTCTAACAACGATTGCACCCCGAAGTGCTAGGGCGGAGATGAGATCACGACGCCGACAACAAATGCCGACATCGCACTTGAGGAAATCGTCTCGGGGATCTTGAAAGTGAGGACCTGCCATAGAATCGCAGCGTGCAGTGGTTTAAATTTGGAACATTCCTTGGCACACACATTTTTCATGTGCTCCCGGGTCTGGTCCAGATTGCATTCAACAGGGTAAACTATTGCTGAGGATAAATGCAACGACAATTGATTATTGTTTCCAATTACGCATTACCACATAATGTTCTGCCCAGAGTCCGGATCAACCAATTCGTACAATCCCGAGGTGCTATGGATTGCGGTGACTACTGAGCTATGCTTAGCTGAGCTTCGCCGGCTGGGTGGTGCATCTTAAGCGGGCGCATAGTGATAGCAGCTTATTTTTATATAACACAAGCGACGAGCTGAGCGCGAATGCACATTCCCTAACTATACCCCACCACCGTATATGTGCCCGCGAAGGAACACGCATCATACAGGTGGGGAACGGAAGGTGTCGAACTTGAAGTATTGTAGGTGTGATTATATTCACTAATTGGCAAGGGTTCAACCAATGCAATAAAATGACGCGTCCACCCATGTGGAACCGTGTTGGAAGCACCCTGACCAACACTGGCCATGGAATAACAGCCCGAGAGCGGAATGAGACATCGGGGGGACGGTTACGGAACGTCTGTAGTGGGCACTTCCAGGGTGTACTTAGTCCAAAAACGGGCGCTCAAAGAAAAGAAAAGAAAACCGAAGGTAGAGAACGACTTCAGTGAATCGAGAGACGGTGGCCCTTTTGTACTTAGTATGACAGCTGATGGCATGCAGCGACGAACGACGAGATCCCACCGGCGCTTGCCGCTGAGCCAATCCTTTCCTCCGGTTTCCTGCTAGCTCGTACGGAGTTTCTATTCGGTGCTCAGTCTGCTTGCATTTCTGAGGGGCCTGATTCCGGTCCTCATACACTCGATCGTTATGATCATCTCTCCCCCAATAATTAAATGCCTCCACGGATAAGCGGCCCCGATATTATCGGGCACTCACTCAATGCATCCAAGTATCCTTCCATAATCGTACAAAGGCTTCAGGGGCCTTGAGCATTTGGAAGCTCACCACGTGTATTGAGCGCCCAAAGATCTCTCTCCTCCATCCACTTGTCAACATCGATCATGTCACTGCGACAAGGTCTCAGGCAAAAGATCGATGAGATCCTCGCAGCGGGAGGCGATATGGCGATACCAATTCTCACAGCCGTCAACGCTGCGGCTGATATGTTCCCTCCTCTAAAGAGCGCGACCAACGGCGCACTATTTATCATCAGCGAGGTTCAAGTTAGTAATTATTCATGCTGGGTTCGCGCGGACAAAGGCTAATGGTTCGGGTCGGGTAGAAGTTCAAGGAGAATAAGAAAGAATGGGAGGATTTTGGGAGATATGTTGTGGACAACGTGGCCGAAGTAGTTGCAGCCATTAAGTCCTATGATCCGTCAACGGAAGAGGCAAAGCCATGGGTGGAGAGCGCTGAAAAGCTTGATCGGTAAGGTTCATCCACTCTTGATAGTCTTTGTGTTTACATCAAGTCTCAGTGCGCTACAGAGGATCAAGTCCGAAATAGAACAAAGACGCACAAAAATAAAGAAACGGTCAGCTTTAATCAATGCATTGTCCCACTTGAGAGATCCGGGAAGGATTGATTCCCTAAAGAAGGATCTTGACAAAGCATTGGCGTCGTTTCAGGTAATTGTCCTCACGGTATCGTTCCATAATCCCTCTGATTTTTCCTGATGCAGCTTAGAACGAATTTAACGGTTGGAGTGAAATTGTCGGTCATCGAAGATGACTTGATTCTTGGCAGACTCCGATACCCTGATGTCGCGCACCATGACTCAACTCAGACGTGCCTAGAAGGCACTAGGCTCGGTCTTACGGAGCAGATCATGGCCTGGTGCCACGACACTAGGGACAGCGGGAACCGTGTCATGCTACTCACTGCTGTGGCCGGTGCTGGGAAGACTTCGATTGCGCACACGATTGCGGAACGATGCGCAAGGGAGCGTTCCCTATTGCTAAGCTTCTTTTTTAAGGCTGGCGAACAGTCGCGGCCTGATTGTCTGTTCAGCGGGATGGCTCGAGCGTTAGCAAAGCGCGATCAGGCTTATCGCTCCTCCATTATCTCTGCTCTTCAGGATGATCCTACACTCTCAACAGCACCTTTCGCGATGCAATTCAGGAGATTGGTGGCTCCACCCCTCCTGCATAAGCCTCCACTTTCCGACCGTCCTATGGTGGTCATCATCGATGCTTTAGATGAATGTGACGAAGAAGCATTTGAGTCCCTTGCGAATATTCTTCGGGAAGAAGTGCCCAAATTACCGTCCTGCATAAAATTCTTCATCACATCAAGACAATTCGATCTTGTCAATCGCTTCCTCTCATCCCATTTCCCTATCGATCGTCTTTCCATTGATCTCTTGGATGACGCAAACGTGCAGGACTGCGCTACATACATACGTTCCCAGCTGCAAACGCTGAAGAATTGTCATCCCGATACGCAGCATAAGCTTGAGGACGAGAAAACGGTGGAGGGAATCTTGGAACGAGCAGGTGGCCTGTTTATTTGGATCAGTACCATTTTTCGCTACATGAGGAAGGCCAGCAAGGACCCTATGAGGACGCTGGAGGGGCTGCTTGGCACAGGGGCAAAGGGATCGACGGTTTCTGCTGAGGGAATGATGGATCGGTTGTATTCAAGCATTCTAAAAAAGTGCGGTTGGGAAGATGAAGATTTTGGGCACGACTATCCGGTTGTGATGGGGGCAATCTTCGTTGCACAACAGCCTCTGTCTGTTGCAGCTTGGGATGCAATTTTGTCACCGTTCTTGAAGTCGTCAGTTCGATATACGTTGGCTGAACTTGCGCCTCTCCTGTCAGGACTTGAGGATCCTGACAATCCGATTCGCATCTTACACCAATCTTTCCGCGACTTTATTCTAGAACGGATCGATCCCCGATTAATCAGCCTTCGTTGCAGTCCAGTAGATGTTGGACGGGAGAATGCGAGAATTGCCCTCCGATGTACTGAGATTCTGAATGAGGATCTCTCCTCTTTAGAGGGCCTTGGACTGATTGAGGACTTGTACGAAAAAGATGAGCTGCCGCGCATTCCCCCAGAGAAGTTATCCAAGCACTTGCATTACGCATGTCGCTACATAGTTTATCACCTCAGTGGAGTCCAGGAACAGTCGCAGGGGCTCGATAAATCAGTTCGCACATTTTTGAGTCAGCAAGCCACTCGCTGGATGGAAGTCTGCGTGAGAATGGAAGGCTACATCAGTATCTCGATACTCCCAGAGTGGGCTGAGGTGTGGATTATCAATTGTGTTAAAGAAATTAGCTCATGTTTTCCCAGTTGGTGGTTGACCAAAGGTCAAAGGATGCTATCTGCATGCTGGCCAATGTGCTTTTCCAGCTCGGCTTGAACCTGGAATTTTTTTCAAGATTCAGGGAGGCATATGAAGCAGCAAAGGATTCAGTTGTACTCTGCCGTTGCCTTGTTTCCGTGGACTCAGAGTCCTACACCCCGGAATTGGCCTGGTCACTCAGCGCTTTATATTCAGCTCTTTCCAATCTCGGGCGGCACTCGGAAGCGCTCCCATTCATTGAAGAAACCGTCAAACTCCAGCGCGAGCTAGTTGCTGTTCACCCAGGATCATACACCCCAGATTTGGCTGCGTCACTCAACAGTCTGTGTAATGCTCTTTCGGATCTCGGACAGCACTCAGGGGCGCTCCCATTCATCGAGGAAAGCGTCAAACTCCGGCGCGAGTTGGTTGCCATTCACCCAGGATTGTACAACGCAGATTTGGCTCAGTCACTCCACACTCTATGTGCCACTCTTTTGCATCTCGGACGGCACTCGGAGGCGCTCCCATTTGTCGAGGAAAGCGTCAAACTCCGGCGCGAACTAGTTGCCGTTCACCCAGGATCATATGACGCAGGTTTGGCTTTGTCACTCAACAATCTATTTGTCTCTCTTTCAAGACTTGGACAGCACTCGGAGGCACACCCATTCATCGAGGAAAGTGTCAAACTTCGGCGCAAGTCAGTTGCCCTTCACCCAGGATCATACAACCCAGATTTGGCTTCGTCACTCAACAATCTAGTTGTCTCTCTTTCGAACCTCGGACGACACTCGGAGGCCCTCCCACTCATTGAGGAATGCATCGAACTCCGGCGCGAGTTAGTTGCCATCCACCCAGGATCATACACCCCAGATTTGGCTTGGTCACTCAGCAACCTATATGCCGCTCTTTCGAATCTCGGACGGCACTCAGAGGCACTCCCATTCATTGAGGAAAGCGTCAAACTCCAGCGCGAGCTAGTTGCCATTCACCCAGAATCATACAACGCAGGTTTGGCGTGGTCGCTCAAGAACCTATATAGCGCTCTTTCGGATCTCGGACAGCACTCGGAGGCACTCCCATTCATCGAGGAATGCGTCAAACTCTACCGCGAGCTGGCTGCCATTAACCCAGGATTACACACCTCCAATTTGGATAGGTCACTCAATACACTACGCACTGCTCGTTCTGACCTTGGATGTGATTCCGAGCCACTAATTTGAACAACCTGGGACCTTGGACCTTCCCATTTCTCGTTTCCTACACAGCCCAGTTGGGTGCTCAGTTTGGGAATACTGGGGGATTGACATTGATTTTTGGTTTGGAACTATTGATGAAACGTTTATGGGTTTTCTTGGTTATTCCGCTCACAACTAATCATGATCGTAACTTGATAATTACAAGAACACTCGTTTGTACCCCTATTGTCCATGTATCCATGCACCACTGCACGCAATGAAGCCGAGACTTGGAATATGGGGTGGGTACTATCCCAACACCACAGGTAATTTGTGGAATGTATGCTTGTCGAGCCATTGTGTTTGAGTGGAGCGGGAAGTCCGAAGCATGGGTAAATCGATTATGTTCTAGCTTGAGTCATTGACGTCAAGGAGTGACGAGTAGTCGGAGCACCCATTCGGCTCTGAGTCGGTCTTGATTCAGCAAACTCGTCACACATACCCATGACAATATCTGCGCTCTTCGAGCTGACCACTACCGTCCAGTGTCTACAGCATGCTACCACCAATTCCATAGTATATCCTGGCCCACTCCTTCGAAAACCCGCTACATAGTTTCATCCTGATCATTCGCCTTGGGCGCCTGTGCCTCTAGGAGGCTCCGTAACCTTCATCTTTCCACCATAGCTATCGTCGGTCAATGGATAGTTTCCCTCCAACTCTTCCTCTTCTTACCATTCATATCCAGCCCGGCCTAGTTCATAGGATGTTTGTCATCGCGGCTTGATTTCGAAAGGAGCAGAAGAGCGGTGCGGGATATGGTGAAATTCGAAAGGAATCAAGGAGACGAGGTGTAGGGTGGAATCTAACTATTCTGTGCATTTTCCCGCTTTTCTTTTCCCTCATCGCTTTGCCTTCAAATGAAGCCTCTTCCCACGTACGTTGGTGAATGGGCTCAACCCATCAATTGCGTAGGTGACTACAAAGGCACAGAGCTCTTTTTGTACCCTTCCCATGTTCCATGCACCCATCCTTGCACCCATCTTGCCAAATACTCGGAGTGCCCATGTGTATTTCTCCCGGGATGGTCGTTCTGTCGATTGTACGAATCCGTGTGAGGTTCCACCATGCCTCTTACCATGTACATGGGAATTTCGTTCACAGCAGAGTGAGACATGCCATATACCCGACGAGTTTCATCCCACCTATTTCGCCTGAGCCATTTTTGATCTGATGAAGCACTATTTTTTCACGCACGGATTAGAATTACGTAGATTCGCATCCGCTTAAGTTTTGCCTGGCTTTGGATCTGCGCTATCGTATCTCATGCCGAATGACGCAATACTGATAGTTGGTTGGTAGGTTGGGTTTGTGAATAAGTATTGTCACAGTAAAAAAAACTCGTATGCTGGTATCATGACCCCATTGTGGATAGTGAGAGTGAGCGTATAAGGAGGCCGAGGCGCACTGTGACAGAGGTTACAGAGTGTCATGGTTGTTCCACGCGTACACATGGAAACCCGAGTCACGATAAAATTGTAGCGCTAACCTCTGATGGTGTTGCGCCAAGAAAGTTCTGTTCTGCGACCAGTGAATGCCCTTCGTACTCATCTGAATTTAGAATATCTCTTGGCACCTCACTTTCATGTGCAACTGCACCGATTGCATTCAACTAGTTAAGCCACTGCCAAGGACAATACACCATGATGCATTGTTCCGCAGCAAAATACATACTGCCTAGGCCATCTCAACCAATTATAAATCCCCAGGCAAATATCGAAGGTGGCTTTAAAGAGTTTCGAGGAATTAATGCCTCTTTCAGATCTATTGCTCAGGAACCGTGCAGAGGTCACTGCTGTTACGTGAAGTGCTTTGCAAATGTTGATCTTTCCCATGTACGCTCCTCGACTAAACGAATGGAGGGAGCAGCGCTGGTGACTCAGAATTACTCTCCCTCGGGAGTGTAATGGCCATCTCGAACGATGTGACGGTGAGAATCCAGTATGACGGAGAATTTCGTGTTTGGGACCTCGTGCAAGAAGTGAGTCCTCCTTGTGTAGCGTCACGCTAACCATGGATGTTACGGTGGGCGTGGGGTGCTTCCAGCCTGTAAGGGATTAACCTTACTTCACTATAATTCCGATTATAGTGATATTTATATTATGTTGCATCACTATAATTCCCATTATAGTGATGTGTTTATTTCTTTATTTATTTGTGCCGAGATATGTAAATTACATATATATACCTCGGAGTAGTTGTAAAGGCCCGGTAGCCTTTTACCTCTACCCCGTTGAATATACAGCACATTAAAGCTTATATTTAGATGGACTACCTGAGGCCTGAGGCGAACGGGGGAACGGAACGTACCGTCCCCAAAATAGTAAGCAACCTTTCACAGCCCCAACCTCCATGGCTTTTCATGGGAGGTGGTTCGGCACCGGTGTGCCAAGCATACTGTCAGGGCAACCACACCTGACCATACAACCCCAGAACCACCTTCCCTAACCTCCCCCCACTTCCCTCATCCTCCCATCTTTCACAACTACAGCCCGCATGCGAACCCGTGGGAAAAATCACGTGGGTCAAGGCGAGCAACTCGCCTTAACCCATGTGACACCTTTTCCGCATTGCGGGAACATGCTCGGCTTCTACCCATAGTCACGTTACGAACTGTACAGTACATTTCCTTTTATAGCAGCCAAGCGGGGAATAGGGAAACTTACCCTTCTTCTCAACTCAGTCCCCGCTTAGGCAAGTTGTAGCTACCTTCCATAATACATGACAACTCAGTCCCCGCTTAGTGAGTTTGAGGAGCTTGGGATAGGATCCAGCACCTGGCTACCTGGGACACTGCAAGTGTCCAGCTCTGAGGTAGGGCCGCCCCCACGTCACGAAAACCGGTATGGCTCTAGAGCACTCAGGAGTGCTCTGGAGATTGGTTGCATACTCCCAAGCTCTCAAAAGCTCCCACAGCTCCTGAGTGATCCCAAGTAATTCCGGACACGATTTTTCACATCATGTGACATCCAACCTTACCTATCTCATCTTTGACTGCTAATGTCCGGAGGCATTAAGTGCGTCGCTGGTGTATTGTGGTCTTCAAACACTTTGAGACTTGGCTGTCAATCACTAGAGGCATTTGTAGTGTTTAATGCTAGTTCTTCACCTCATTTTTGACTGCTGGTGTCCGGGGGCGTTAATTTCGCCACTGGTGTATCATTGAAGACTTTCATGGCTGTCGGGGCGCACCCGCCTGACCCGGCTCCACCCGGCCCAACCTGACCCGGTACCCCGCCAGTCCACCCTTCCTTACCCCCTCCCCCTTTCCCTTCTTCCCCCTCATCCTCCCCTCCTCAGTTTCTCCTTATCTTACTTCCCCTTTATTCTCTCTTTATTCTACATGGACGACTTTCCCTGTATCAATGTACAACTGACCCATCTGCAGCGCGCCCACCATGTACCCAGCCCGGGCACCTCGGGCGACTTCCCGCTGTGCCCAGCACGCGCGCCTGCACCGGATACCCTCGGGATCTCCCACGGAGACACCCAGGTGGTTACGGCTGTGTGCGAGGGTGACGTGGCATCCGTCATGTGATCCAAGCCGCATGTATATAAACGAACCTGAAGTGGGAACCGAAGAAGTAGCCTTCTTCTCAACTTTCCACTTCAGGTAAGTAGTACAATATTTCCCCTTTAATAATAATAACAACTTTCCACTTCAGTCTAAGTGGCCAGGGACTACTGTCCCACATCGGGCCTGTCAGTACGCACGCCCAATCCGCCCCCCGCCAGGCTCTCGGTCCCAGACGCTATACCCGGACCCCCTCGACCCCGGACGAGTCCCTGACAATGGCTCCCTTTCCCAAGTTGAAAGTCGGCTGTCAAGCACCAGCCAAGAGGCATTTGGAACATCGCTAGTTCTTACAATGTGGACTGCAAACCCACTGTCGGCTACAATGGACAAATAGACAAATAGATTTGGCCAACTCTGCTACAATGGGCTCGGATACAAAAGTATAATCACGTGTCAGGAAAATTTTCAGTTGGGCCACAGCACTTCACCCCATCCTGCCGTTCCCAACCTCAAATGTTCCCATAACACCACCACCATTAGTCTCTATGCCACATGGCTGTGTCTGGGAAAACTATAGCACACTTGGTGCACTGCACTTCCTCTGCCATGGCTGGCTTTTGCAACCACATCATCACTCTGCACACAGGCATTGCCTCTTGAACATAGAACTCAAAACTCGGATTTCACAGCAGGGATAGATCCCTCCACCTCTATTGAGCTCACCTTATGTGTTGACTGGATCTCATAGCCATGTTTGTACATGGCAGTGCAGCTTTCCCGTGTGTTCCATCTGAGTGGACGATTCATCAATACAGGGTAAGATTGACCCGATGACACTCCATGCTGTGAAAGTCCCCTCATGTACTGTTGTAATGTAGTGGGATATGCTGCTCTGTCATGTCGCGACCGCGGGGTAACAAATTTGATATCAACAACAACAGGGTAAGATTGTCTAGTTGGTATGGTTGGGGTGACAGTGTCCTCTGGGTTGTGGCGTCAGATTTTAGTCATGTCTGGGTTGTATGTGAAAGCCTGGCACTTGAGTTACTCTGTGCTCTCCACATTGTTCTCCTGGTCTGTTTGTCACGTTGGCTCCTTGAATCATCAAGTGCTCAAATTCTAGATCCCAGTCTCATGGGTTGTGCTTAGCTATAACTCAGTACTGTTACCATTCTGCAAGGAGTGGTCCAACGTCTCATTGCTCGGCCTTGTGAGTTTTTCCAGTAATTCAATATTTATCATCTGACAGGAAGTTCATTGTAGGTACCAACGCGGAGCCGCCAGAAGTGTGTGAGGTGGAGGAAGGTGGTTCATTGGATACTTAGATATGACAATTAGTTACATTTCCTGTATGTAGTTAAAGAATTTACAATTTCTTCTTTCTGCAATGTGAATGTTTAATGCATAAACTGAGTGGGTGAGATCCAGTATAATATGTACTCCAGAGCACTCCGGAGCACTCCAGAGCACTTCAGGAGCAAACCAATGCTCGGGAGCACTCCAGAGGGGGGTACCTTTCTCCCAGGCTCTAATAGCTCTAATCGCTCAGGAGCACTCAAGAGCTGATAGGAGCGTCTGCCGGTTTTCGTGACGCAGACAAAGGCCGGGCCCTGACACATACCCATGGTCTATTAACTCAAGAGCTTAGAAAAATGACGGACGACGAGGCCACTTTCCAACAGATCTGTCATCCGCCAATCACTTGGTGGAAGTGGTGCCTAATAGGAGGGCTAAAGCGGGAGCTC